CCATGTAAAATTAATGCAAGTTCAACTTTGAAAAAACATATCTTGAGACTTTATGGCAGGTTTTCTCCCCCATCCCACTGCAACTCGTGTTTTTAAATGAAAAATGCACTCCGTGTGGCTTTCGGCCCTTTGTATTAAACTATGCATACATACATGATGCTGTTTTGTTTATAGTTGTTTAAGCAACTTAATTAATTCTAATTGGTTTATAAACATTATTTTAAATATTATGCACTTTTTTCACAGATAGTCATGTTATCTTATGCTTTGAATAAACGTGCATTAGTAATATTTTGCTTGATGCGCCCTCTTGTGGGCTCAGGAGAGAGCCAAAAGCTTTTCTTCACCCTAACTGAAATTATGCATTTTAAATTCGAATATAATTCGAATTTTGATCATATTTAAGTAAAAAATTCTAATTTAGTTTTTCAGCCATGTTGACAGCCCTAGTGTTAACCAGGAACATACTCTGAATTGAATGAACTTACTGCCGCATGCGTTTTTGGAACATTCATACCTCGAGTTAGCAAGGTTTGGGTTAATCAACCGAGAGTTCAGGGTTTAGCAGATGGTAAGTTAACCCTGCTTTCTGGAAGTGTTCTGTCCCCAGTCGTGTTGCTGTCTATGCAGGGTCAGAGAGGTCTCGGATTTCATCAAAAGTATCTTCATTTGTGTTCCGAAGATAAATGAAGGTTTGGAACGAAATGAGGGTGAGTAATTAATGACAGAATTTTCATTTTTGGGTGAACTAACCCTTTAATAAAGTTCTCAGTATCAACTTGGACACTGAAAATGTTTTGAAAGACATATAGTTTGTGACTGTTGTTTACACGCTGCTCTCTCACCGGAGCACTGCATGCCCTGTCTGAAGAGGCCCTTGAGCAACCGGAAGCAGTGCATGCAGACAGTGGGTTTGGTGTAGGTGTGAATGTGGAAAGTGTGAGGGACTCGCAGTCGGGCCTCCTTCCCCTCCGACAGCCCCACAGACACCAGCACGTCTGCCCAGGGCAGCGGGCACGAGCGCGACGGCTTCGACATGCTGATCTGAGGGAGAAAACAAACCGACAAAGTCCCTTTAAGGCAATTCATGTCACTCGGCAGCCATCTGTGAAACGCCTCTCGGGCATGCAAGTGCAGCTCCTATCTCTTTGAATGGGGAAACATCAAATTCTCCAAAACTGTTCACTAAGCTTACGATTAAATTTCATGTATGAAATCACCAATGAAATCTGACAACAACTGTGTCATAAATGTCGTCCATTTTGCTCAAATAGCGTTCTAAAAAACTTATTTCTCAGGCTAGACCAGCCAGTGCACAACTATATTCCTGAGCGCAGCATGTCTCAGAACACTGATGCTGTGTCCCAATTCGCATACTATTTAGTATGTCCCAAATCATAGTATGTTGAAAAGAGTATGCCAAAGATTCCCGGATGGTCTACTACTTGAGATTAAAATTCGAAGTCCAGATCGATTTGCACTCTAAACGGCTAATATTGCCCTCAAAACATTGCGCAGTGGACGAGGATTCGATTAGAACTACAAACATGGCGGATATGCGAGGACGACAGACAGGCAGAGAAAGGGGTTTGAGTGATAAATAATCAATGTCTAACCTGATTAAAAATATTTATTTAATGTTATGCGCGTTATATTTCATCTGCAGCAACATTGTGAACTCTTATAATGATACGTTTGGTCATTAGCTTTTAAATGCATCATCATGCAAACATATGAAGAGAGTTCTCGGCATGATAGACCCGCGATTGGCAACGTGCCTCTTTATTTCTCTCCAGTACGGTAGGAAATCAAATTAAACGAAATGTGGATTTTTGTTAACTGTGACAAGATGATTGACAGGGCAGTTTAAACAGTGACAGAATGCACGTAACTAAGCAAAAGAGCGTCCGTTAAAGACGCAGTTATGACGAAGTAGTATGTCCCATAGCTTGCCTAGTATTCTGCTACATACTCAAAAGTACGTACTTTTTCTTCACAAAAAGAGTACATACTTTTAGGGCATAGTATGAGTAGGCGAATTGGGATGCAGCATGACTGTTTCTATAGTAACAGGCAGCTGCAGTGACGCGCTGATTTTACCGATTACGGATTGGCTCTTTTTGCTCAGAAGGCGGGGCTTCGTTCGATAGAGCGGCCATATTGAGTGTTGCCTTTTTTCCCCATTCAAAACTATACGAGTGACACTTCTTGGGTATTCTATAGTCTTTGGTTAGGATGGTCACCTCCTCCAGACTCCCGCCGGTGTGACTGGAGAGCGTCGGGGTCCGGGGCCGACCGGGAGGAAACAGCGACAGACTCGGGCCGCAGCGGCGATACACGCGAGAGCAGTTGCTGGTCAACTTAAACACACAGCGCTTGTGAAAATCCAGACCGCAGCCTGCAGAGAGAAAGACAAAGAAAAACCCTCAAACACTTCACTTTTCAGATTTGTAAAAACTTTTAAGATAACAACATAATGAAACACAAACAGCATAGAAACTTAGCAATAATAAAATAGTTTTTTTTATATATTTATAAATAATATAATTATAAATAATATATAAACATAATAAATATCAATATTAAATAAACAAATAAATAAGCAATTAGGCAATAAAATAAAATGCAAATATTCAGTATAAGACTTGATATTATGTAATAAACAAATAAGAAATTAAGCAATAAATAAAACTGAACATTAACAACATATTGCAGAAACTAATGTCATAGAAACTAAGCAAAAAAATCAAATAACTACATATTTATAAACAATATAATTTATATTATAAATACACTGAGACTAAAACTAAGCAAAAAATAGAAATAACATTTTGATAAATAGTCTAAATAATATACTTTATATTAATAAACAATAAATACAAAATATAAAGATAAATACTATATAATAAACAAATAAATAGATAAACTCTTCATAACACAATAAATATAATGTTCTAAACAACATAATGTAACAAAAGTAAAATCAAGCATCATGATATAGAAACTAAGCAACATAAATAAATAGGCCTAATACATTTATAAAAAATATAATTTATATTATGAATGAAAAACGTGAATTTATAAATATAAATAACAAGTGCTAAACAAATAAAGGCAATTTACCAACAACAAAATATGAATATTTTGTATGGACGAGTCCCCATAACATCTCACTGCAGTAGTGACAAAACGTAGGTGTGCGATACGAATGGACGACCAGAGAATGTGGGCGGTACTTCGTCTCCGTCACTGAAGCCGTTCCTAGAGTGATCAACGTGATTGACAGCTATCAACATCACCTGCAGTGATAGTAGTGGATGGTGTGTGTGTGTCTGTGTGTGTCTGTGTGTGTGTCTGTGGGTGTGTGTGTGTGTCTGTGGGTGTGGGTATGTGTGTGTGTGTGTTGCAGGTAAACGAGCAGCAGCTGAAGAAGCAGTTAGATGAGATCACATACATCATAAAGCTCAGAGACAACCTCACGCCTAAAGCGGGAACGGTAAGTGTTACAATTATTGTGGTGTTTACTAAGTCGTGCATCATTGCACTCCATTTGTTGGAATTTTTTCTGAATTTTGCAATCCTAAATGACTGAATTTGCTGCAGCTTTTCTCAAAAATTTATATATGCTGAATTTTTCATGTTAATTTGCAGTAAAAACTCTCCAATAATCATTATGGATTTGTAAACAGTGAGAGTAGTTCTCTGTAAATTATGTCGTGCTTTATGACTGAAATCTGCCGTGGTCGTGTCCCTGAACAGGCTGGAAAGACAATAGACAAATGCAAGCTGTGAAGGAATGATTTGGAGAGATCACTTGAAAACATTGATCAATTTGTTTGGGATCAGAATTATGCATTTTGATTAGCTAATATTGTTTTTTTGGGGAAAAATTGCAAAAATAAGAGAACACACACACACACACGCGCGCGCACACACACACACACACACACACACACACACACACACACACACACAGAGTAATTATTATAAAAATGATAGAAAAGCACAACAAAATGTAAACATTATTTAAAATATCATAATGCAAGAAAAGTAAGTACCAAACGTTGTCATAGAAAGTAAGCAAAAAAAATATTATAAACATTAAATAATAAATATAAATATTGTAATATATTTATAAACAATATAATAAACAATATATTAAACAAAATAAATATAAATAGAAAATAACAATAAAAATACTGTTAAACATCATAATGCAACAAAAGTAATACAAAAAACATGTACAAAAATTAAGCAATGAAATAACAAATAAATATTTAAAAATAATATAATTCATATTATGAATAATAAATATTAAATATAGTAAATAGATGAATACAATCATCATGAAACAATAAAATACTGTTAATCCAACAAAAATAATGCAACAAATGTAATAACAATCTTCATGACAAAAAAAAAATACAACAACAAAACAAATGAATAAATAAAATCATAACACAAAAATACTGTGCTAAGCATCATAATGCAACTAAATTAATACCAAACATCAGGTCACTGAAACTAAGCAATAAATTAAATAAATAAATAAATAGCACAATAAAATACTGTGTTAAAATTCATAATTCAACAAAAGTAATGCAAAACATCAAGTCATAGAAACTAGGCAATGAACAAAATAATAACCTAGATAACCAATAACCTAGACTTCTAGTCTTGAATAAAGAAGGACACTTCTACAACCTCATTTATTTTAATTAAAATAAAACATTTTTAATGCATTTATGAACCTTTAAATCAAGTTGGTTTTAGTACTATATTTGTTAAAAAAACAGAAATTTGCAAGCGAACACCTGCACCATCTCACATCGAGACTTGAGAAAAACTTCTCAGACACACACAGTGTGAGCAGACCATTGATTACAGAAACCCTTCACCATGTCTGTTCTCTTCTACAGTGCATTTCTTCAGATCATCTAATATAATCACAACCGCACACTCACACAGACACATGCTGGGCATGAACACTACTTTAAGAAGCATGCAAGTTCAGTCGGAGGCAGAAGCCGCAGCTCTAATCAGCATCAGCATCTTCAGATGAGGCTGAAAGTGGGTGAGATGATGATGGCACTGCAGCGGCTGAACCACTGCGTAACTGATGGCTCTTAATGGCAATCATTCGCTTTTCAAATCCAATGGATGTGAGTCAAACTGAGACTCTCCTCAATAACTCACACCTGATACTCAAGGTCTCTTAACTCTGAACATAAACAGTGTGAATTGTACGTACTAATTGACCAGCAATATTTTAGCCAAAAATATTGAGACTACAAAATCACAGAGTGCTTAAATAGTGGCGATATAAATGGTAGGGCCCTATGAAATCTGTTTTTTTTTTTTTTGTGTGTGTGTTTTAATTTTTCTAGACTCTATTTTAATGGTTAAATTAAACTGTATTCATCAAAAGACCTGTCTAATTAACTAAAATAATAAAACTTACAATATTAAACAGCAATTTATGCAAAGTTGAACAAAACTAAAATGTTTAAGGCCCTCTGAAATATGTTTTTTCAAATTCGGTTCTATTATTACCAAATTCTGTTTTACATAAATTTTCTGGATTCCATTTTTAATTGGTTTTATTACATTTTAATAATCAAAAGCATCTCTAATTAACTGATTTTAGAAAAAAACTAGGCCTAATTTATTATTATTTTGTTTCTTATTTCTTCTTTCCAGAAATACTGTGTTGTGTATTTACATTTTTCTGCTAAATAAATTTCTGGTAAATAGTTATTCCAGTAAACGAAACCGCGTGTCTGCGCCATTTATGCACACAGAGACACGCAGAACATGCAGGACTCAAATGGTATTTTTGAAGCTTAATATTCACAGACACTAGTCTATATCGTGTTTTGATTTAAGTGCACTGACATACTTTTTTTGATCCATCCAAAAGTTGGCAAATTCTGTGATATTCCGCTTTATACAGTAAATTCCGACAAGATTCCGCGATTCCGTCACGTTTTCCACATCGCGGGAATCATTGGGCCGTAAAATTGCTGACATAGGCATATCTAAATAAATGAAAATGGGGTTAAACGTGCAAACAGGGATCGTTTTGACAATGTTCTCGTCTTTATGCAAAACTTTTCAAAAACGCAAAGGAATTGTTTTTGCTTAAATTAATTAATTTGTCATTTGCATTATTTATTATGTAAGGGATAATGTACAGTGGGTACGGAAAGTATTCAGACCCCCAGGATCTCCTCTCTCAAGCGAACGTGGCATTATGGCATCCTCGGCCCGACCTATGGGCCCTGCACCTCTGGCCGCTCGACGGGAGCCTTCGTGCCTCCCAGAGCGAGTCTTAAGCACAATTTGGGAGGCTAGAGCTCCCAAACATGAGATGCCTCTACGCCTTAAAGTGGTGTTTTCTCCGCTTGGTATCTAAACCGTGGCAAAGACCCCCTCACTTCCGAATTGGCAGAGGTGTTGTCATTTCTACGAGAGCTGCTGGATAAGGGACGTTCCCCATCCATGCTCAAAGTCCATGTGGCGGCTATAGCGGCCTCTCACGCCCCTATTGAGGGTCAATCGGTGGGCAGGAATAGCGCGGTCATCCACTTCCTGAGGGGTGCTAGGAGGCTGAATCCGCCTTGTCCCCCTACGTCCCTTCATGGGACCTGCCCACTGCGCTGAGGGCCCTGAAGGGCCCAGCTTTCGAGCTGCTACAGTCTGCCAACATTAGGTCGCTTTTAAAACATATTTCAAAAAAACATTTTCATATAAATGCATTTCTGAGATAAATGAAAGTAGACATGCAATGTAATGAGGTCATGTAAAATATGTCTTGTACTAGTAACATTTATCGTTGCATACGACTTATAGAAAATAGCTGGAACAGTAACGTATGCAGTAAGCATATGTGCGTATACGTGCATGTCTCTAATGTACTGTATATGAATGACGTAAGGTGAGATCGGTGAGCATTCATGTGTGTGTACATGGGAGTTTGTTCAATGAAGGTCAGTGTGTGTGTGTTTGTGTGAGATGATCCTGTCCCACTGCAGTGGAAATGGCACCATAAGAAGTTCAAGCAGAGAAAAAGGTGTGTTTGTGTGTGTGTGTGTGTGTGTGTGTGTGTTAGGGGAAGAGTCTGTGGTTGGAAAGTTACATGCACATGCTGTGAACCACAGCGGACAAACAGGTGTGTGTGTGTGTGTGAATGTGAGTAGCACCTAATTCAGTAGCATCTTCACACACACACTCTTTAACTTCCCCTGATTTCACAAACACAGAGGTGAGAATTCTTCAAATTATTTTTTAAAAAAGATTTAGAAAAAACTGCGCACAAAGGACAAAACCCTAAGATAAGCATTACTGTTGATCATACTGTTGTGCATAGCAACAGCCTAGCAACCACCTAAAAACCCTGATAACAAGTAACATATAACAGTCAATATTCATGGACTTCACAATCTGTTGAAAGGTAAACTCAGACTGCATTTTCATTTTTAGGCACCTGTTGTGAACCAATCATTGTTGAAACCGCTAACGAAGAAATGAACAATGTTTTTTTTATGCACTATAAGGCAAAAGACGCAGTACGTTTGACGAATCTGTGGGTCCTGCTAACGTTCCTCTTTACCTAGCAACCACCTAAAAACCCTGATAACAAGTAACATATAACAGTCAATATTCATGGACTTCACAATCTGTTGAAAGGTAAACTCAGACTGCATTTTCATTTTTAGGCACCTGTTGTGAACCAATCATTGTTGAAACCGCTAACGAGGAAATGAACAATGGTTTTTTTACGCACTATAAGGCAAAAGACGCAGTACGTTTGACGAATCTGTGGGTCCTGCTAACGTTCCTCTTTAAAACTGAAAAGCTGAAGGCAATGAAAAGGTGCTTTTGTTGTTGTTGGAGAGAGAGAGAGAGAGAGACAATAGTCCAGTCGGCTGTGTGTCGCAGTGGTTTGTATGGATCGTCTTTGCGCACTTGACCTTTTGACTGTGGAAAGCAGCCTTCACTGAAGTCATTGTCAGTAATGCTGTTATTAGAGTGGGTGTTTGACTGACACTGCATGAACGCGTGAACACGTACAGGAATAGTTTACCAAATATGTAAATTCTGTCATCATTTATCCAAACTAACTAAATTGAAATGGAAAATGATATAAAACGTAGCTCTTAAATCTCAGTAACATTCAATCAAGGAGTATCAGAACGTGTTTGGTGACGTTTCTTGATGCACCATATTAAAACATGTATGGTTGTTCTTTTCAACATTCAATGCTATTGTATCGTATTGTCTTGTGTTATAATCAGTGCTGGGTAGTAACTGATTACAATACAGATTACAAATTACAGATTACAAAATTAGGTACTTGTAATTAGAGACTATTACATTTTAAAATTCTCATAATCGGATTACAGTTACTTTTTCATAGATTACATGATTACATACTGTAATGTCATTGCCGTTTTATTGTTGTTCAGGTAACGCAGGGACTCCCAAACGTTTTTGCCAGCTAAACCCCTTTGTTATAAAATGAAACTCTCTGACACAACAACACATTTGCATGTTGACAGTTCTCTGATGTTGTTCAATAGTCACATTGACATGCAGGTACACAAATAAATTAATTCTATTTTCAGTGTTCAAATTTTAAAATAATTTTTATTTTACAATTTTATGATTTAATTATTAACTCACAAACACACACCAAAAAGTAATCTAAAAAAGTAGTCCGAAAACATGAGTAGCTTAACCTAGATTTCGATACTAACTACAATTTTCATCATGTAATCTATAATCAGTATTGGATTACATTTGCAAGTAATCTAAAGCATAAACTCCTTTCATAATGCTTTTTGAGCTTGACTGCCCCATTCACTCAAATATAGCAGGGAAGATTTATTGTAAACCATTTGTTTAATGTTTCGAAATCCCATTCCCAATAAGAACTACGTCTCAGAAAGTGACAAGTTTGTTGAAGCTATGCAGTACCTTTCTCTCAATGATTTCGGCTGCGAGATGCTTCGCCTCTTGGAAGCTGAGGTGTCCCTCAGGGATCAGTACATCCTCTTTGAGGAGCCCAATCTGAAAGTGGACACGTATGGGCCCCTGTGTGGAGGACTCGGGCCCCATGGACAGCAGAGAGAAAGCGCCTGAGAGAGAGAGAGGAGTTAACTCAGATCAAACGGCGCTCCTTTAAACGTTTACAGGTTCACCACAGCTTACCTGCACCCGTCTCGGTGTTTCTTGAAGCGTTTTATAGCGATACTGCAATAATTTTTCCACTAATTGTTTATTGTTATGTACATATCATCATCAGAAAGTCTTTAAAAGCTTTTGGTGTTTGAAGGAAAGGCCCCCAAAGGTTCTTTCAAGTGCAAGGCAACAATTGAAACTAGCATTAACCTGCCTAAGATTAACATTAAGATTAAAGCTTAATATAGTCAAGCTCTGAAAGAGGAACTTACCAGAGACATGACTGCTGAAGTCAACGCTTTTTGGGCGGTGGTTTGAGTTGGCTGCCATTTTCTTCACTTTGGTGAGTTGGAACTAGCACATTTCGCAGGCCCGTTTCAGACGCTTCTGCCGCTGCTCTGGTTTCCTTTTGCGAGAGCTTCAGCAGACGAACGGCAGGCAGCTGAGACAGGAAGTTGACACTCAAACTTCAGTGTTTCTGTGTGTGACATGAGTGGGTCTGACGAGCTGCCCACCAAACGCAGACGTTATCTGATGAACTTTAAACGCAAGACAGATGGATGGATAACAATAGACAGACAGATAGATCAGATAAATAGATAGAACGATGGAACAATAGACAGACAGAAAGAATGACAGAGAACGATAGATAGATAGATAGATAGATAGATAGATAGATAGATAGATAGATAGATAGATAGGCAGAACAACAGATAGATAGATAGATAGATAGATAGATAGATAGATAGATAGATGATAGACAGAACAACAGATAGATAGATAGATAGATA